GCACCTGCACTCTCCCTCCCACACCCAAGTCCACGTTCTGCCCTCTGAATCTGCACCCCCGGGCACCTCTCAGAGCAGAATCTGACCATGGTCTCTTTGTGACACTGGCTGATTTCTCCATGATTATCCAGACCCTCCTTCTTTTCTAACAGGAGAGTATCAGCCATGTCTACAAATACCGCCTGTTGTGGACGCACTCACCTGTTGGGCTTATTCTGGTTGCTGGCATCTTTGGGCTCATGTGAATGAGGCTGCTATGAACCCGTGGATGCAAACACCTGCTTGGGTTCCTGCTTCAATCCCTGTGGTTATATGTGCAGGAGAGGAATTGTTGGATGGGATGGTAATTCCAAGGAACCATGTTTCCTTCTTTATTGTGTTGAAATTCAAATAACATAAAACCAGCCCTTTAAAGTGTATTATTTGCTGACTTTTAGTACATTACCAATGTTGTACACCATTAACTTTTTAAAAACATATATTTTATTTATTTGAAAGAGTTACAGAGCTAGATACAGACCGAGAGAGAGAGAGAGAGAGAGAGAGAGAGAGTCTTCCATCTGCTGGTTCACTCCCCAGATGGATTGACCCCGCCCACCCTGAAATCCGATTTCGCTCCTTTATTCTGTTACTTGGCGCAAGCTCCCTGTTGTTGGCTGAAACACGGATTCCCACGCATGCGCACTGGGAACTGAATTCACCAGAAACAGAGCAAAAGGCTCCATGAAGAAAGAGCTAAGCGCTAGGCGCACATGGGTGCGGATCCACATTTGGTCTGCAGGGGGCGCTCTCACACCTCAGGGCAGGAGAAGTCCATGGCTGAATAGAGGAAGAGCCCCTGCTGCCCCCAGACAGTTCCGCAACCAAATGCAGGAAAACGGTTCCCCACTGTGCTCACGCTCCCCCCTGCCCCGCCCTCAGGGCTCGGCCTCTCTGACCCAGTGCTGTCCTCTCTCCAGGTCACCGCCAGCCTGCAGCCCGGGTCCTCTTGTGGCTGTACCAAGCCTCTGCCAGCAGAAGCCCGAGGCCCAGCAGGACCAAGCCGCCACGCCCATGCGGATGAGGTTCTCCAGGGTGTGGTCCTGGGGCGTTGGGTCTGGGGGTGTGCACGGAGGGGTCACCTAGGCTGGCCAGATCCAGTAACACAGGACCCCACCTCCCCGCAGCAGCCTGAGCCCAGACTGCACATCTTTGTGTCTAGGGAGTCCCCTCGCCCAGCGTGGGCTTTGTGAGAGGCCTGTGCACCCAGCCCAGTTCCCTTCCCAACTCCAGCGCCCCTGTTCCATCCACTCCACTTCCCACACAAACCCTGTGCCATAGAGGGTGACCCAGGCCCCAGGGCTGAGACCTCTGCTGTTTCTCACTCCCTGTGACCTCCCCCAGGTCCCCTCCCCCAGCCCAGTCCTCCTGTGGGGACAGCCCTGCACTGACCATGAGGACTGATGAGACAGGGCTGGGGCCCTCACCTGACACCTCCAGCTGCAGGGGGTCACTGGGCAGTGACCACACACGGGTCTTCTTGGTGTCAGTGTGGTAGCACCTGCAGATGCCACGGGGCCCAGGAGGAAGGTGGCCTGCCACAGCCCAGCCCCATGGGAGTATCTGGCTTCCTGGCTGTGCAGGGGGCAGAAGGAGGGCTTGGGGAGGGTCCCTGGAAGGGAATCAGAGCTGCAGACCCCGGGTGCTGCCCCTCTCCCACCCCATTCCCCAGCTCCACTCCCAGCCCCTCCCAGCCATCACCATCAGCCCAGCCCCCTGGGCTCCTTAACATGAGCTTTCTGGAGCCCCCGGGACTGAGCCAGGTCAGGGGAGGACTCACCCACTTGTGCCCCATCCCCTGGCACCCAGCACAGCCCTGGAAGAGAGGTCCCCATGAGAGCTGTTCCCCACTGCCCACCCCTGCAGTGATGCCCAGGCCTGCCCTGGTCCTCTGAGCCCTGGGGTCCCAGCTGGGCCATGGCGCTCTCCCCTCCCGCACCTGTAGGGGTCCCATTGTCCCCGTGTCCCCGGCTCACCCAGGCAGAGGAGGGCAGTGAGGGCTGGGGTCTGGGCCCCACCACCCATGGTCCCTGTGGAGCAGAGCAGCTGTGAGGGGCGCAGGCCCAGAGTCCGGCTGGAGATGAGTGGGGAGACGTCACGGGTTCCTCATCTGTGGCCTCACAGGAACGGGGGGCAGCCCCTCCCCGACCTCCCCCGCTGTCCCTGAGGATGGGGCCCAGGAAGCAGCTGGCACTAGGGACATCTAGGACCAGGCCTCCGCCTCTGCTGCCCCCTGTACTGTGCCTGCCCTGCCTCCCTCCCCCACTCCAGCCCCCGCCCCAGGAGTCCACTCTCTGTCCAGTTAGGGTTCTGGTTCTCCCTGCACAGGCCGGGTGGCCGAGACACGCACTTCCCCTTCCTGAGCTGTTGAGTGCAGTTGTGGGGGCTGGGGTGGGGGGAGGGGAGGGGAGGGGGAGGGCTGGATCCCGTGGGGAGGGTGACGGAATCTTCCAGGCCTTTGGCGCTGACAGGGGGGATGAAGAAGGCACAGACGCTGCAGAGGTGTGGCTGAGCTGCAGCCCATCTGTGTCTGTGGCAGGTGCAGGAGGGCCCACAACAGGGGACACAGGCCTGGGGTGGGGTCCTGCTGGTGGCTGGAGGCCTGGGTCCCTGCTAGGGGCTTGAGGAGGGGAGGGTGTCTTGGAGCACAGGCCCCAAGCTCCTCTGGGAACTGAGAGCATGGGATACCCTGGCCCCGGGCCAGCTGGTGACCCATGCCCCACACCCTGTGCTGGGTTTCTTTGATTGAGGGGGACTTGGAGCAGGGAACTGGGCTTGTGTGGAACCACACTCCACATGGGGCTAGGGATCCCCAGCACCTGTGTCCTGAGCCCCCCACGGCCTCTCCTCCCCTGATCTGAGCACCTGGGCTCCGTGCTCCTGGATGACATGGGGGTGATGCTTCCTGAAGGACCTGAACAGGTGACGTCATCCCCCAGTGTCTCTGTGGTGGGGATGCCCGAGACCTCCCCTCTCTGGGTGGCCGTGGCTGCAGCACTCCGGTCTCAGGGTCCTGTAGTGTCCCTTCCAGATTCAGACGTGGGGACAGCATCGTTCTGGTAGGGGTTGCTCCTCAGAAGTCCCTAGGAGCGCCCGCTGATCCCAGAGGTGAATCAGAAGTGGTCCCGGGTCCCAGACAGAATGGAAGACCCCATCCTCAGCCGTGTTTGGGGGTGGAGCTCTCAGCTGCCTGCACTGGGGTGGGGACCCCATGAGAGAACGCACGATGACTCGTCACAGCCTCGGGTGGCAAGGCACTGACAGGCATCTGTCCTTTCCTGAGCCCTGCGTCTGGTTGAGAGGAAGTCCCCCTCCCAGAAACAGGAGCTGGCAAAGCGTGCATGCAGTGGGGTTCACAGCAGAGCCGCAGAAATGCAACGACCCCCTCTGGCCTCCACAGCCCTGCACGGCCCCAGGGCTCTGTGGGCTTCCAGCCCTGGGTGTTTCTGGGAAGGGTGCTATGCGAGGCCCATTGTGTGTGGCTGTGCCCCTAAGCCCCAGGCATCCTCATTTCATGGCTTCCTGGGGCTCATCAGAGTTCCCACGGAGACAAGGACCCACCTCCCTGAGTCCCGCATCCCCGGTGCACATCCGGCTCCTGTCCCTAGCCGGCCGTGCTTGGACGGATGCCTGTGTGCACAGTCCCTGGGTGGTTGTCAGGGTCTCCCCCTGGGCCCTCGGTGGTGAGAACACTCCACGGAGCCTGCACTCAGCACACTGGTGAGCACTGCGCCTGACCCTGACCCTTGCCAGGATGTGGGTCAACGGGAGCAACTGACTCCATGCAGGGGGTGGGTTGCTCTGTGCTGTGCCTACGCTGGGTCAGGTGCTTTGAGGAACTATGAGCCTCTTGCCGCAGTGACTGAACCCTGCACATTCCAGCCGCGTCTCAGGGCTGTGATTTCCCCACACCCTGACCACACTCTGCCTGCTTTGTCTTCCAGAAGTGACCAGTGAGGTGGCGTGGGGGGTGCCTCTCTCTGGCATTATTTGCACTTCCCTTCCCTTGTGCTGAGTGAGTTCCACCCTTGCTTTTCCTACTGTGGCTTCCAGATCTGCATCCAATGTGTTCGTTGTCTTTCTGTTCCCTTCATAGCTGTCCACGGTGCACAGAGTTCTGAAGTTTTGAGGATGATCAATGCAGCCATTTTCCTGTTTGTTCCTCATACTTTCAGAATCACAGCTAAGACGCTGTGATGAAGTCTGAGGTCATATTTACCCAGGTATTTCCTTCTAGGAGTGTTTAAAAAATTTTTTGTAAACTCTGATTTATTTATTCGAGAGGTAGGGACACAGAGAGGAGAGACAGCAACAGAGATTTGCCACCTTCTGGCTCACTCCCCAGACAGCTGCTCCAGGCTGTTCCAGGAGCTTCTTCTGGGTCTCCCACGTGGGTGCAGGGCCCCAAGCATTTGGGCCATCCTCTGCTGCCTTCCCAGGGCATTAGCAGGGAGCTGGATCAGAAGTGGGGCAACCGAGATTCAAACTGGTGGTCATATGGGATGCCGGCGCTGCAGGTGTTGGCTTTACTCCCTCAGCTATGCTGTGGTGGGGTGGGGTCCCAGCCCATAACTGGAAACACTGGTGCAGAATCCACAGCGCTCTCTCAATCCCACCTCCCTGAACTCTGTGGGAAACGCAGACTTGCACCACATGGACAAGCAGAGTAACCAGCCACCAGAGGAAGCCGGGCAGGCATCCGCACTCTTCCAGAACACCGGGTGCTGCCGTCCGCCAGAGCCGCCGTGTTGTGGGGTTTACGTTAGTTGTGCATTGAGAAATCCAGATGACCTTGAACTTCCCGTGCCTGAAGAAACCCTGCACACACTTTCTTTCACTTCTGTGTGGTCCTCTCAGAGGGTGGATTCCCACGGTCATCTGGGATTTTACCTTAGAGTTTGATAAGCACACGTTTTTACAAATATTTATTTAAAAATCAGAGTTACAGAGAGAAGGAGAGAGAGAGGTATCCATCTGCCGGTTTAATCCCAATGGGTCCTCACAGCTGGAGCTTGTCTGATCTCCAGCCAGGAGCCAGGAGCCAGGAGCCAGGAGCCAGGAACCAGGGGCCAGGAGCTTCTTCTGGGTCTCCCACATGGATGCCGGGGCCCAGACACTTGGGCCATCTACTGCTTTCCCAGGCCATAGCAGAGAGCTGGATTGGAAGTGGGGCAGCCAGGACTTGAACCGGTGACCACAGGGATGCCAGCACCTCAGGCAGCAGCTTTTATCCATTAAGCCACAGAACCAACCCAGATCTATTGATTCTGACCTCTCACTTCTGGCCCCACCTGTCATGGCCTCCTTTTGGTGAGCAGAATTTTAAACCCATCTTGAGTGACAGGTGTCCCACCACATCCTGGCCCACTTGCTGAAGGTCAAGGGGAGCAAATCCTGGCGTTGCCCTCTCCGTGGGCAGCAGGGCCCGGGCTCCTGTGGACACTCAGGGCCACTGAACTGTGTGCGGTCCCTGGAGAGGAACAGCACAGAACCGCACGGGAGCCTGCAGGGCGGTGGGCAGGGCTGCGGGAGGCCAGAGCCCCTTCCCAGAATGCACATGGGAGCCCAGGAAAGCAGCACCACTAGCAGCCCACCAGGGTCCCTGCCCCTGAGCAGGATTCCCACAACCCCAGGTGAGCTCTCCCCACTTCCCACGGCTTCTCACCACGCATGCCTGATCCCCCCTTCCCCGCCTCCAGGGCTTGGCCTCTCTGACCCAGCTCTGTCCTCTCTCCAGGTCACCGCCGGCTTGCAGCCCGGGTCCTCTTGTGGCTGTACCAAGCCTCCGCCAGCAGAAGCCCGAGGCCCAGCAGGACCAAGCTGCCACGCCCATGCGGATGAGGTTCTCCAGGGTGTGGTCCTGGGGTGCTGGAGCTGGGGGTGTGCACGGAGAGGTCACCGAAGCTGGCCAGCCCCAGTCACCCAGGACCCCACCTCCCCGCAGCTGCCTGAGCCCTGGGTCCAGCCTGTAGCTCACTCACCAGCGGGGGAGCCTGGCTGGCAGTGCGAGGGGCTGCTGGGCTCCGGTCCTCCGGAGAACAGGGTCAGGACGGTGAGGAGGAGGAGATCCCGGCCTGCTCCACACTCCGTGCTTCCGGGTCCCCACATCATGCAACAGGGATCAGCCTGGCCCTCAGATGAGCCGCCTCCACGTTACTCTGTCCAGCTCCCTGTGCTCTGGGGCCACCGGGGGAGCTGCGCAGGGGACAAGGCCACGTGGCACCCCCAGCCTGGTGAGCTTCTCCCTACAGGAGCAGGTCTAGGGCCCACCCTGGGCCAAGGCCAGGGCAAACTGTGCCCACGCAGTCTCTGTCCTGGTCTAGAGGCCCACAGCCCCTGGGGTAGGAGGCCCATCCTGGGCGGGGTCCTGTCCAGTGCTGCATCTGCTCCGGCCCCTGCGGGAACCTGGCCTGGGGCTGCCGGCCAGGGCGCTGGGCAGACCCTGAGTCCCTGTGTGACCCTGTCAGGCCCTCTGCAGGGACCACCAAGAGCCCTGCTGGGTCAGGAGGGAAGAGGGAGCGGGGCTGCACCTGGCTCCGCCCACACCCTTCTCCCTCCTGTCCTGCAGTCCCACCGCCCTCACTCTGGGTGTCTGGCCCAGGAGCCCAGGCCCCGCACCCAATTCCCATCTATGCCTCCTCTCAGCGTCCCCGTGACCTACCCAGCTCCTGCTCAGGTGTGGCTTCCTCACTGTCACCCCAGCTCCAGGGCGGCACTGGGCTCTGAGCAGCCAGCAGCGCTGAGGCAGACACAGCAGTAGCGCCCCGCGTACAGCTCAGCCATGAGAGGGTGGGGAACTTGGCCTTGTTTCCGGGCTCCAGGGGCATCGCTCTGTCCCAGGGCTCTGGGATTCCCTCCCTATACAGACGGCACTCCTGGGCCTCCAGGGTTCCCTGACACCACAGGGCTTTAGGCCTGCCCAGGGTGATCACAGAGCCTGGCTCAGCCCGGACGCTGGGTCTGGGGAGGGTCCCTGGAAGGAAACCAGAGGCTGGGTCCCAGGACCACGTCCCCTCGCAGGCCAGGACCCTCCCAGACGCCCTCCTCACCAGACAGGGCTGCTGTCCCCACCCCAGCTGCCCAGGGTGGCCCTTGTCCCATGGCAGGGGGGGGGACCCGGCACAGTGGGAGCACGCTCACCTGCCTGCACTCGGGTCCTGGGGCCCGCACAGCCCTGGAGGAGAGCTCCCCGTGAGAGGGTTGCCCCTGCCCCTGCCCCTGCCCCTGCGCCCGTCCTCTCCTCCCCGGGGCTCCTGAGCCTGGGGTCTCCAGGGAGCAGGGCATGGCTGTGGGGGGGGCGGGGTCCCTCCCAGAGCAAGGTCTCCCCTCCCCGTCTTCCAGTCTCCCCAGGCAGAGCTGGACCACCAGGACGGGGTCATGGCGTCCTCTCCGCCGGCCCCGGCACAGCGCCCGCGGCATGGACACACACCGGGTGTGGACGCTCGGAGGCCGGGTCCTCCCAGCATCGCAGGGCTGTTCCGCCCGCAGCCCACAGGAAGGGGCAGCGCCCCCACCCCAGCCAGGCCCTCAGTCCCCAGGATGGGGGCACAGGCGCCCTGCAGGGATGGGGGCCCCGCCCCGCCCTGTCAGCCGGCTCCGCCCTCCTCTCCCAGGGCCAGGACCCAGCACCAAGGACACGGGCCTCCCGGAGCCGCCCCTCAGGTGGGCTGATGCGCCCCGGGGTGGGGTCGTCCCCTCCTCAGCCCCTCCTGTGGGGTCGCAGCCCGGCCACTTCCGAAGGACGCAGGTGGGCACAGACCCGCTCCCGCCCTGCCCGGAGGTCCCGGGGCCCGACCCAGGGCGGGGGAGGCCCGGACGCCCCCTCCGCCGCGGACGCCGCTCCCACGCCCCTCAGCCACAGCTTCCCCCGAACCGACCACCCCGCTGCGGGGCCCTGAGGCCTCCCAGGACCTGCGCCGCCCCCTCCCTGCCGCCTGCCCTGACTCCCGGGGGAGGCGCCCTCACTGCGTCCCCTCACACACCCCTCTGCCCTGAGCCTCAGCTTCCCTGTGTGGGCGGACACGGACTCACCTGAGGCGGCCTCGCGCACACGCACACGGACTCTGGACTGCGCATGCGCCTGCTGCCGCACTTGTGCAGACGCCCACAGAAAGGAGACTGCGTACACACTTACACATGACTGCGCAGGCGCACACCGCCACTGGCCTCGCGGACACAGCCCAACACGTGACTGTATAGGGGCACAAGACAGGACTGTGCATGTGCATGATGACACGCTACTGCGCATACGACGACAAGTGACTGCGCAGGCGCACGCAGACATGCTGCGCTCACACGTCACTGAGGGGAGTGCGCGCTGCTTTGCCGCTGTCTCAGTAGAGGAAGAGTGCGGTTCCTTGTAGGAAACGTGAATCCTGACTGCTGCTCTGCGCGGCCCTGCAAGTCCTCGCCAGAGCAGGTGGGCGAGAAGAAGCCACAGAAGCGTCCGAATTGCGAAGGAAGAAGCCACGTCGGCTCTTTCCTGATGACGTCATCTTACCTAAAGACAACCCAACGTCTCAACCAGAAACTGCCCTCACTGGTCACCGTCAGGTCGCAGGATCGCAGTGAACACACGAACTCCCGTCAGCGCTCCAAGGGAGATCCACACAGCTCCACTTAGCAGAGCCCAGACCTCCAGCAGCCGGGAGTGAATTCCTCTGCTGCAGGTGGTGAATGCAGAGACCCCGCGTGGGTTCACAGCGCATCTGCGGCTCCGGAACGGGGGATCAGACCGAGGGCCGCAGTCGTGGGGCGGCCCTGGGAGGTCACCGTGCTGTCCACATGCAGGGGAGACGAGGAAGGGAACTCAACCATGCTCCAGCGTGTGCACCGCTCATGGCTGCTGTGCTGTGCCCAAGGCCACCTGGCTCAGCTGACCCCTTGTCCCCAGGGATACTGACTGGGGGAGGGCAGAGGATGTGAGCTGAATGTGGTGGTGGGGGGGCGAGAAGCCATTCTCGTCGCATCCTTGCCCGAGTCGTGGTGCCCTCTACTGCGTTCCCACGCTCCTCTTCACACCCCTGCTGTGGACAGGGCCCTGGACAGCCAGCCGCGAGCCTCTGCCAAGGACACAGCGGGACTGAGAGACACCTACTTGTGACCACGAGCTCCAGGGCACCACTGGGGGCCGCCACACCTCAGGGCTGCCACGGTGGCAACCACAGAGATACGGGGGTTCTAGGACAAGAGCCAAGGTTCCCCTGGCATCAGCGCTGTGGCAGGGAGCCATTTCCCTCTGGGCTCACTGGAACTTATCCAAGAGGACGCTGGAGAGGAAATCACAGGAAAATGTTCTGTCCTGGCCTCACCCCAGACCCTGTTCCACGGCCAGGCAGGGCTTGTCACAGAAGCCTGAAAGAGAAGGGGTGAGGGCAGCACACTTTCTCCTTTTGAAGAATAGTTACTTTGAAGCCGAAGGTTGTATTTGTGTCTATTTGTCACGTAAACATAAAACACGCGCGCACACACACACAGAGTGGAAGAGCTAACCCAAGCTAGATAACGTGTGCATTACCTCACAGACGTATTGTGTGCTGGGAGCATCTGACACAGTTTTAAGCAATTTCAGCTGCCCATGCCGTGAGCGTTATTAACTAAGTCGCCATGACGCACACTACACCTCTAGACCTCTTCTCCCACGTGATTCTGTAGCTCTGCTCTCTGACCTGCGGACCCCACGCCCTCCCCTGGTGACCACCATGGTGCTCCCCGAGTCCCTCACAGCCCACACCTGAGTGACTTCCCGCGTGGGTTCTCCTCTGTGCCTGCTTGTTTCACTTCCGCAGTGTCCACAGTGTCTCGGTTTGCTGCAAACGTCCGGGTTTCACTCGTTCTATGGCCGAGTCTTAGCTTCCCTGTGTGGGCAGAGACGGACTCACCTGAGGCGGCCTAGCGCAGATGCACACCGACTCTGGACTGCGCATGCGCACAGCAACAAGGGATTGCGCAGGCGCAGACCGCCACTGGCCTCGCGGACACAGCCCAACACGTGACTGTACATGCACATAAGACAGGACTGCGCATGCGTATGATGACACGCCGACCCGTGACTGCGCAGGCGCACGCCAACATGCTGCGCTCACACGTCACTGAGGGGAGTGCGAGCTGCTTTGCCGCTGTCTCCGTGGAGGAAGAGTGCGGGTCCTTGTAGGAAACGTGAACCCTGACTGCTGCTCTGTGTGGCCCTGCAAGCCCTCGCCAGAGCAGGTGGGTGAGGAGAAGCGACAGAAGCGTCCGAATTGGGAAGGAAGAAGCCATGTCGGCTCTCTTGGCTGATGACGCCATCTTACCTAAGACTACCTCTTTTTGCTGATGACGTCATCCTACCTAAAGACAACCTAACGTCTCAACCAGAAACTGCCCTCACTGTCACCGTCAGGTCACAGGATCGCGGTCCACACACGAACTCCCGTCAGCGCTCCAAGGGAAATCCACACAGCTCCACTTAGCAGAGCCCAGACCTCCAGCAGCCTGGAGTAAAGCAAAACTCATGATTTACATGGAACCACAAAAGCCCAAATATTAAAACCACCGTGAGACTAAAGCCCCAAGCCGAGGTGTCTCACAGTCTGATTCAAGACACACGACACAGCTGCGGTGTCCACACAGCATGGCAACAAATACGAACACACGGGGACACTGGGACAGCAGAGAGAACCCAGACGGACGGTCACTGTTACAGTCTACTGATTTCTACAAGGGCATCGAGAACTCACACTGGGGAAGGAGAGGACCTGCGGTGTGCTTTGAAAACTGTTTCCATCTGCAGAAGACGGAATGACAGCCCTGTCTCACCGTGTGTGCAAAAGTCATGGGATTTTTATTGTTGGCCACCAAGGATGAATACATGTTTGAGGACTTAGATACGCTCCCTCTGGTCCGCATACAGACGTGGGTCAAAACATGACACGTATAAGTAATATTGTGTCACTTAAATATCTTTAGGTCTTACCACAATCATTTTAAATTATGTGAAAGGGAACTACGTGAAACCTGAGATAATGAAACTCCTTTTAGAAAACAGAGGGGAACCCCGTGAGGACGTCTGGGCAGTGATTGGTTGGCTGTAGCCACAGGAGCACAGACAACAGAAGCAAAATCCCACGGGTGGAGGAGGTCAATGCAGGGCAGCTGCTGGCGATGCTGGCATCCCAGTCAGAGTGCTGGCTTCCGGCCTGGCTGCCTCGCTTCAGACCCAGCGTCCCGCTGATGGGCCTGGGAAGGGAGCAGGAGACAGCATAGACTCGGGCCCTGGCACCCGCGAGGGAAGCAGGATGGAGCACCAGGCCCCTGGCTGAGCTTGCGCTGTTGATGCCATTTGGGGGACTAAGTCACAGAAGTAGGATTCCTTCCTCTCTCTCTCTCTGCCTTCATAGAAATAAATGATAGATTTAAAAATTGGAATAATTTCAATTAAAACCTGCTTCACAGCAAAGGAACAGTCAGGAGAAGCGGAGGGAGACCCAGAGTGTGGAGAAAATATTCGCAGGTCACGCAGCTGTTAAGGGTTCACCTCAAAATACAGAAGGAATTCAGCAACTCATGCCAAGAAACAGGCTGCGCATGGGGGCAGTGGGCAAAGGACTTGCATTGACGTTCCGGAGAGAAGATGTGATGACTGACAGGTGGATGCAGAATCTCTCAGACAAAACAGCTTTGTGTCTGATGAGCTGTGACTTCTGGCAATGTATTGAACGCCATTGATTCTTTAGTATCAAGCGACCGGTGCCTGCCTTCACCACCAACAACCAACCAGTGTGCTCATGACGCCTGCATTCCCCTCTCTGTATAGGAACCAGAACTCTTTGTGAGCATTTTCTTGGGAGTCTAAGTTTATGGGAGCATCCGTCCCAGGATTTCCCCATCTGACTGTTTCCATCTCTGGTTTTGATAGCACTTTCTCCTTGCCTGATCCTGATAGAACATTCCTTATTCCTGTCCTTGGGAACAGTGTATGTAAATTTGGGAGTGTGTGGGCATGCATGTGAATGTGTGTTTCCTACCTGCGTAAATGTGTGGGAGGAATTCCCATGAAGCTTTGTAGCCTGGTGTTTAGACTGAAGGAGAATGTTGGATTCCCGAGTCACGGCATCGTCAGGTGTCAGGGCACGTTTTGGTCAGCCACAGTCGCCTGTACGCCGGCGCCCCCAACGTTCTAATGAAGCTGACAGCTGCCGACCTCATCGTACTCTTGCTGTACGGCTTCTGTGTGCAGAGTCCTAAATACGCAGGTCTGCACCATTGCAGGAGGACGCCCGGCCCCCGCTGGATATTCTCATAGGAAAACAGCAGCGAGCTCTGCCGTTCCCAGCCCAGGAGTGAACGGCAGAGTTCAGAGCCCAGAGTGAAGTAGCTGCCATCATGCAGGTGTGTGCTGGGACTCCTTGATGTTCCATGACCAGACTCACCCGGCACAGGGTTCCTAGAGCCGATCCCCACCATTGCAGGACATGTGGGTCGATTTACTGCAACTTCCTATTCCCATGAGTTCGGTTCCTTTTATTTATTTGTTAAAGATTTATTTATCTTTATATTTGAAAGGCAGAGTTACCGGTGTGAGGGCGGGGGATGTGATCTTCCGTCCACTGGTCCACTCCACAGAGGGCTGCAGTGGTTATGGGATGCCGGCGCTTCAGGCCAGGGCGTTAAACTGCTGTGCCACAGTGCCGGCCTCTTCAATCAATTTTATACTAAGACCAACTCTATACTACGTAAATATTTCAACAATTTGCACACACACACACGCACACACAGTGTGGAGAACTAGTTTTACAGTTAATTTTTATAATACAACTCATGAAGATCAGAGGTCCTGCATGGGGAGTTAGTGCACAGTGATTCCTGTTGTTGATTTAACAATTAACACTCTTATGTATGATATCAGTGATCATCCGGAGCTGTTGACATGAGCTGCCTTGGCTATGAGAGCCTTTTGGAGGCCAGCGCTGTGGCATAGTGGGTTAGCCCACTGCCTGCAGTGCCGGCATTCCATATAGGTGTCAGTTTGAGTCCCGGCTTCTCCACTTCCGATCCAGCTCTCTGTCATGGCGTGGGAAAGCAGTAGAAGATGCCCCAAGTGCTTGGGCCCTGCACCTGTATGGGAGACCCAGAAGAAGCTCCTGGCTCTTGGCTTCGGATCAGTGCAGCTCCAGCTATTGTAGCCAATTGGGAAGTGAACCAGTGGATGGAAGACCCCCCTCTCTCTATATATCCGTATATCTCTCTCCTTCTATATCCGTGGAAATCTGACTTTTAAATAAATAAATAATCTTTTTTTTTTAAAAGAAAGCCTTTTGAGTCCGCAAACTGTCTGTATTTAGACAGGGCCATGAGCAAAGTGGGAGAGCTCTCCTCCCTTCAGAGAAAGGCGCATCCTCTTTGATGGTCCCTTCTTTCCACCAGGATCTCACCCACAGAGATCCTTCATGTAGGTCATTTTTTGCTTCATTGTCAGTTCTCAGAACCATGCAGTGTTCACTCCTCCTGTGATGGCCCGCGTCCCTGAGATCACCCTGTGTCTGCCAGTGTTTCATCTGCTGCATGCAGAGAACAGAGCCTGCTACAGAGGGGAGCGGGACTGGACGGGCATCTCTCACGCAGAATCAAGCGTCCACAGGGAGGGAGAGGATGCCAGCACCAGGGGAGCCACTGAATCCCACCCCACAGGAGGGCTTCCACGGGCGAGGCCACGGGTGCCAGCGTAGGTGTGGTGGAGAAGGAAGCCTCGGGCGCTGCTGAGGGGACCTGGGATGGCGCAGTTGCTAAGGGAAAGAGCTTGCAGCTTCCTGCAAGAATTTAAGTGGGACCACGCTCAGACTCCCCAATCCCATTCTGGGCGCTGAGATCAAGGGGCTGGCGCTGGATGCAGCAGGTGAAGCTGCCGCCTACAATACCAGCATCCTGTACCAGAGCTCGTGGAGGGGTCCCGGATGCTCCACTTCCAGTGCAACTGACCGGAAGCCAGGAGCCAGGAGCCAGGAGCTTCTTCCGGGTCTCCTACGGGGTGCAGGAGCCCCAGCACTTGGGCCATCCTCTGCTGCTTCCCCCAGCTGCATAGCAGGGAGCTGGACTGCAGGCAGAGAGGCTGAGACTCCTACTGGTGCTGCACTATGGGGCGCTGGTATCACAGCTGGCGGCTTTAACCTGGGCCATGACCCCATCTCCAGGCCCCACATTCTTTAACCACTCAAGGCTTATAAAGCTACCACCCACGAACACTCCCCAGGAGGGTGCAGGCTAAACCCAAACAAGCAAGGCCTAGACGGCACGCCCCACGGTGGCTCCACACTGGCCATTCACTCCCCAGGGGCTGCCTCTGTGTCTCCGCCCTCCTCCCAACATGCAGGTCACAGGTGCAAAGTGACCCGGATCCTGTGAGCAGGAGGAGGGAGTGCCGGTGGCCTTGGCCAGGGCAGCCTGCTCCTTGTCACTCTGTGTAGATGAGAGGCTCAGAGCAGACGGTTCTGAGGACACGGCCACGAACCTGAGATGCAGCTCTCCTGCTGCGCCCTGAGCTCGGAGAAGCACGCAGCCTCCAGGGAGTGGGTGAGGCCCAGCCCTGCTCTGCCAGCAGCCTGAGAGGAGGGGAATACAGGTGCAAATGGGCGGGGAGCTTGGCGGGCAGGCCAGTGGGGGTCACTGTGGACCAGGATGCGGGCATAGTTCCTGGCTTCCTGCTTGCCCATCGGGAGGGTCCTGAGCTTGGGGGGCTTCTGGGGCGGTGCTGCCCTCTAGCACCCACGTGCGCGCCTGTCCACGGCCCACAGTGCCCCCGAGCCCTGGGCTGGATTTCCCAGGCGCTTCCTGCGGTGGGCGCATTGTGAGCACCCCAGCCTCTGTCCCCTCTCGCAGGTCGGGGCTGGAAGGTCCACGCGCGAGCAAGGAGGGCCCAGCGTGCCGTGGCTCCTCAGGCTTTGCAGACCCCGCCGTCAACCTCTCCCGCATGGGAGACGAGGAGACGGCCTCTCCCCGCCGGCTCTGGAGCTGTCTCAGACCCGAGAGCAGACGCCACCCGGTGAGCGAAAGATTCCTCAGAAACCACAGGGTGCGGGAACAGAGTCACTGAGAGCCGAGCGCCCATTGGCTACCTCTCACCATGGCCGCATATACCCACAATACCCCGGGCGGCCTGGGGGGTGGGGTTGTACCTCAGCCCCACCCCCGAACTAGGAAGGCTTTGTCTGAGGGCAGGCCAGGTGCTGTCAGCAGGTCTCATAGCAACGGCTGAGCCCACCTCCTGTTAAAGATGAGACCAGCTCATTTGGCCCCTGAGCAGGAAGTCCTGCCCCCTGCGGCATCCTGGGAGCCAATCACAGAGCTCAGGGGAAGTCCACTTCCTTTGGCCCAATCATGCGCAGGCCGGAAGTCAATCCTAACCCGAAGGAAGTTTTTCTTCTAAGTTGAGCGTAGTTGGTGTTGGGTGTTTCTGGGCGTCCATGTTCGCTCTGGGGCTTCTAAGAGGGTTTTCTGGATCTTGGAACAGAACTGCCTTTGTAAGCGCCGGTTTGGAGAGGAGGCTGCCAGCGGCTCTATGCAATGTTCTTTCCCTTCTAATATTTTCTAAGGAGCTTCATTAAATATAACTTATACCCATAGAACCTACCCTGCACAGTGCTGACCCACAGAGCAGGTCTGTCACCCGTCAGCATCCCTTGGGCCCCCCGTGGAGACCTGCCCCACCCCACCCCAGTGATTTGGGAGGAGGGGCTGCCCTCGCTCAGCCTCGAGCTGCCGGAGGCACTCAGGTGCCAGTCATGGAGGCTAAGGCTGGGCCGCACGGCTCACAGTTTATCGTCTGGTGTCCAGCACCACCCATGTACCTGCAGACACAGCCTGGGGCCACTGCAGAGCCACCTGCTGCTGCCGCTCCGTGTGGCGGGGCCAGAACCCGCCGCCTCCAGCTGGGCCTTTGTCCTTCCTTCTGGGTGGGATCAGCCCCGTGGTCGTGCTCAGAGAGAATGGCCTTGGCCAGAGGGAGGGTCCTCTCAGGGAGGACCCTGTGTGCTCCCTGCTGCCAGGGCTCCTTGCACGCAAAGGCCTGGCAGTGGGAACCGGAAGCATCTGACCCTGTGAGCACCGGAGGTTAATTAAAATCCCCCACCAGCGATCATATCCGGGTGACGGGGAGGCACAGGGAGGGAGGACTCAGTGGCTGTCCACGGGGCGGCTCTGGGGCAGACCAGGAAACCAGCGCTCCCCAGATCCTGTGCCCACGGCTT